GCAGCTGGAACCCAAAGGAGCCTGGGAAGGCTCCAGGCAGAGCCTTCAGAATTGTGAGGTACATGGGGCCTTCTCTGAAAGGAGGATCCTGCGAGACCAACCTTCTGCTCAGTGTGGCTGGACTCTAGCTAGTGAAAGCCGTGGTTTTTGAGCACTCCTGTTCCGCTGGGACAAATCTATGCAGTGCCCTTGTCCAATGCATGAGTTTCAGCCAAGCCCCTGGGGGAAACACCTGCAGAATGGCAGGCTTTAGGGCCAGGTGGCCCTGCTTGCTGCTATTGACTTTAAGGCCCTGTCTGTATCCGGTAGCAACACTGATACAACACAGAGCAATTGACCCTAGTGTAGACAGGCTCTAAGTGGGAATTTCATGGTAGGAAGTGTAAGAAAGAGATCTGCAAAGGGGACAAACATTCATTAATCTGACAACCCCACCCCTCAGTGCTTTAATGCCAGTGGCAGAGAGAAGCTGCTGCCATGGTGAAGGCTGACAACTAAGAGCCATTGCGCCCAGTATACCTCAGTTCCTCTTAACCTTATTTTATCCAAATTCAGTTGTCATTGTTTGAATCAATGAAATACAGACTAGATTCACCCACCCCCAACAATGATTATGGGCCAATCCCCTGAGTAATCACAGCATAATTCTGTTCATGAGGTACGACCCAGTCCGTCCTGCCAGTCACACTAAGCTGCTACGACCAAGCATGGAGCATTTGGTCTGTGGTTCTCTGCAGGCCATAGTCACTGCTGACTGTGTCTGTCCAAGCTGCACTCAGCCGAGGAGCTCCTTGGTCTTCCCTGCCAGGAGCTTGTCCATCTCTGCTGCAGTGTCATCTGTCATTTGCTGGATCTGTAGCAACATAACATGGCCTTAAGTTAGATCCTTGTAAAGATGGGACACAGGCAATTCCTAACACAAAGCCCAAGCTCCAAAGCAAGCCAGCAGGCTAAATTCCGTTCTCGGTGTATATCCAGTCACTCCTCTGAGGTCAGTGGAATGTTCTTGTTCTTGGAGTAACTGAGACTAGAAGCCAACTGACTGTATGTGGAAGATCACAAATACATTTCACAAGCTGTCAAAACCCCGACAGATGCATCTTCCCACCAACACAATAACAGGTGCACGAGGAATGGTCTGAGCACACATGTCTCGGAAACGGGATCTCCTGATTTCTAATCCTAGCTCTGACACTATTTCCTGCTGCAGCCTTGGGCAAGTCACTTCTCTGTGCCTCCATTTCCCCAGCTGTAAAATGATAGCACCTCTTCACAGCACAGGTGTGTTGTAATTAATGTTTGGTAAAGGGCACAGAAATGGAACTCAGCACAGGAGTTCTCAGTGGTATAGTTATGGCTGATTGGGTTTGAGCATTGCCACGCGGTATGTCCAGTGACCTGTCTGACTCCTCCATCAGCATCCAGTTCTCCTTTAGCCAGATCCCGTCAGTGGCTGACTCTCTCACACCCACACACACCCAACATTTAACCTACTCTCCGTACAATCCCTGCCGGTCTCTGAAAGGCTCCTAGTGAAAAGCTCTTGGCTGAGACTGACCAGTTGCTCTGCCAAGTCCTTATTTAATAGACCTAACGTGGTGGGACAGTCTGTCGGTGAAACTGGAGGCCACCAGATGTCAGAGCCAGAACGTAAAGGACTCATCTCCTTACTCGTCGTAGCCTTCCTGCTGTTGTAATGAATTGCACAGCAGCAGCCGCAGTCTGCTAGTAGAAGCTTTTGCTTTTATTTGCAAATCGAGTACCAGACTGATTTACTCCCCTCTGTCATGGGGAACGCAGCACTATTCCAAAAGTCCAACCTGGTGCTCCAGGATCATGGTAATAAGAGTGGAGACAGGCCAAAATTTCAAAGGAACCTCCTAAATTGTGGTGGCCAGAGTTGTGCATGCACCTATTTGGGTGCAAAAGCCATGTGTAAGTGTGCGATGGGAATTTGCATGTGCAATACAGGCAGAGGTGACTATTGGGCACATACCATCGCTATTTGTGTGCAAATTTAGGTTCTGCCTGCTCCAATCTTACAGGGCCTATGTAGAAGGGTCTAATATCAATTTGGTCCCCAGTTTCCTAGGATTCCAGGTATGTGGGAGGTGAGCTTGCCTCATGTTGAAAATCCCTGGCACAAGCAAAATCTGAGCTGAGACACTGACCCCACAAATACAAGAAGCCATCTGACTGCTCTGGAAGAGCTCCTCTTTTTGCTTGCACAAACTTTTATGCCAGGAAGTGTTTATCAAAGGCGTCCACAGCACCAGCTTTTGGGCACACTGACACATTCAGAAGATAATTCCTGTTTAACACCAAAACATCCCCATCACGGCAACAGCTAATGCTACTATGGCTTTGTCTATCCCATGAGCTAGGGCTGGGATTCCACGTGCTCTCACTAGCTCTCACGGAACCAGTGCGAGTAGAGATAGCAGAGTAAATGTAATAGCTCAGCCGTGCTTCCAGTACCACTGCCCGTGTTACCACGACTGCACTGCTGTTTATTCTCGCGCTAGCCCAAGCAGGAAAATCCCACCCCTAGCTCATAGTGTAGACGTAGCTAAAGTTAACTTCTACCAGCAGCGAGCATGCAAAGGAGTGCTCTCTGCTATATTCCTAGGGTTTACTGCTAACGAATAATATCTTGCAGTTAGAGGCCTTTATTCAGCAGGGTACTTAGGCATGTGCCTAAACTTAAGCATGAGTAACTGACTTCAGTGAGACTGCCCATCTGCTTAAAGTTAGGTATGTGCTTTAGTATCTTGCTGAATCTAGCCACAAAGCCATAGCATAGTGCAAGGTTACTAATGTTTGATTAGTGTTAATTTCATTGCAGTCAATGGAGCATTGTCGACTCCCACCAGCTGATGATCTGGCCCTATGTGCTTGCAAAGTCTATGTGCACTTACGGCATTGCATAAATGATGGTGATAAAACTGCCAGTGAAGATTCAAGCAGCAGGGCTGGACTCTGGCCACCCTGCTGGCCTGCGTATTTGGCACATGCTGCTACAATAGGCTTGTCAGGCTACTGAAGGTTTGTGGGAACCTTTACTACCCTCCCCCCTTCAATTTGCACAGGTTCATGCCCCAAAGTTGACTCTAAGTTTCAGGTTTGAACAAAGCCAAAATCGCTCTGCGGAAGGCAGATGGAGCAGCAGTTATGACTTATTTAAAAAAAAAACACAAAAAAGGGCCAGGCCCACCTCAGCCCCCCCTCAAACCCAGCTCCTAACAAGTGTTTCCTGAAATCTGCGTTTTTGTTACCAAAGTCTAGCACAGCTGGATCTTCTCCCTCATGGCCCTGTCCCAAGGGAGTCAGGAAACATATGCAACGCACTGCTGGGGAGAAAAAATACCTGCTTTTCTACCAGCTTAATGGTGTCTTCAGACACTGTGCTCTTGGCCTTCTTCACTTGGTTCACAGCGTTACTCCGGACCTTTCGCAAAGAGTCCTTACCCTTGTTCGTAAGCTGTTTGGCGAGTTTAGCCAGGCTTTCACGGTGTTCTCTTGTTACCCTAATCAGGGAGAAGTAAAGGGCGTTAGGCGTAGCACGTAACTGATCTGTTCATTGTGATATTATGTGTGTGCAGGATAAACTGGCAAGCTGAGGAAGTACAATCCACTGATCCTGTCCACACTGGCCTCTTTCAAACAGTTCCTCCTGGGTCTGGGACCGACACCTTTCAAACTAAGTCATGTAAGTCTCAGGACTGGAGTGGAAGGCAACAAGCATGGCAGTAGCTTAGGGATTTGGATCAGATCTTATTACGTTTATGGTTTTCTGTGCAGTGCCTGAAAACCATGCTGAAATGTTTAGGCTTTTCTTTTTTGTGCTGCCAAGGCATCTGCAAGAGTGAAGAGGGAATATCAACCTCAAAACTTGAGATGCTGAGCTGAAAAGTTTAATCCTGCTGTAAAGCTGTGAAGGGGCAGGAGGAAACCCCTTAACCTCTCCTTGCAACTGGAATAGTCTGAAAACTATATCTGGGAGTTATACAGCTTACAGGGTGAATCTCTTTATTCAGCCATTTTCCAGTTCTTCACAAGCATGCGGGAACCAGACTGGTATTTCCACTGTGATCGTATTTAACACGCTGTTTGAGAAGAGACCAATATTGCAAAATTTTCTAAAATAATGATTTCAATTTATTTGTATCCAACTCTAGCAGACTGAGGTTTCAAACCAGACTTGTAATTCAGACACTCAGCTCCTCACAGTGGGTCAGGAGCTGCAGACAAACACAGGGAAAACTCCCATGATTCCCCGGTTGCTTCAGTTTCTAGATCAGAAAGGAGAGGCATCTAGGATCCTGAGCATAAGAACGGGGCACTGGAGCTGCAGAGACCCTGTCACCCTCAGAGGCCCTGGTCAAGTCATTTAATCTCTTGATACCTCACTCTCCCAGTGTGGAAAATGGGGCTCTGACAGCACCTATTGTGAGGATTAATTATTTAGTAAATGTTTTCAAAGTGCCTTGAAGATGAAAAGCCTGTTGCAAGTGCTACATATCATTAGCAAGAGAATGCCTGTCTGCTAGTGGGAGATATTGCAGAATAAACATTTCACAGGAGTATTTAGAAATTGACTGCAACAGACTAGGTCACTGCAACATTAAAGACAAGGCTCTTCCTGCGCGGAAATCAGGAAATGGGGAGTTAGGGTTCCCATAGCAATGTTAGGTCTGCCTCTTTGCGGGTATTAATTACAAAGAGTCTTTCATTACCCGAGCAGTTTCTGAACCCTTTCCTAGCTCACTCACAGCCTGATAAGCCACATTCCCTTTGGTTTCTTCGCTCCACAGCCAAGTTGCTCAAGGCAGATGTTTGCAGAGGCCCTGACCAATCACAGGCTCATTCATTTATTTCCAGAGCTGATTATTAAATTATTATTAGGAATGAATTTAGTGTCTGTAAAAAGTGCAGCATTTGACAGACCCACAGACCGTAGTCCAGGACAGATCCGCTTCACGACTGCACTGCTCTGTTAACGTGCTGCAGCTGAGGTCTGGAGGCAGGCAGTTTGCCTCCCTAGCCCTTTGTTTCCTCTGCTGAGCTGTGGCCACGGGAAGAGTGACTGTGCCCATAAGTCTGGTGATGGAGATGCCTGGATGAAGGTGACCAGTTTATTTCACACAGGGCAAACATCTGTCATCTTAGACCTGAGCCTGCATTTGAGCCATTGACCTAGGAGGGAGAAACTATGAATCAGAACACCAATCCTTTCAGGGCTTCTCTTCTGAAAGTTATGAACCAGAAAACAGCCACATACCAAAACAGCACAGTCTGTTCATAAGAACGGCCATATGGGTCTGATCAATGTCCATCTAGTCCAAGATCCTGTCCTCCAACAGTGGCCAATGCCAGGTGCTTCAGAGGGAATGAACAGAACAGGGCAATTATCAAGTGATCCATCCTCGGTTGTTCAGTCCCAGCTTCTTGCAGTTGGAGGTTTAGGGACACCTAGAGTCTGCGGTTGCATCCCTGACCATCTTAGCTAATAGCCATTAATGGACCTCTTCTCCATGAATTTATCTAGTTATACTGTTCAGAAATAGGGGAAACAGAGGTCAGATTCCCAGACAGTGTTTCAGGGGAGCATCTCTGTCTGCTACTCTGGACATTGGAAATTTCTACATGACTCTTTTCACTTACTTCCCTGCTAGGCAGAGGGTGTGTTGGTCTGTGGCAAGAGCTCCCCACGTGCGGTAGATCCACTTTGTGATTTGCTGCTCACCTCCCCACATGTGTAAATGTTTTGTGGATTGTGCTGAGGGTATCACTCAGCTGCTCAGGGGTGCTGAACCTTTAAGGAAATGTTTGTTTATGCAGTGCTGCCAGATTTCCTATGCTGCTTGGCACAGGGTCACACATCTCCTTGTCTGTCTTTATTAATGCCCATTTCTGTTTAACAATGTGTAGTGACATAGAGCTTTCTTTGTGGGTTTTACATTCCACTGAGATTATATATAGGTTCTGAGCTCCTACCACCAATAATGCTACAAAAACGTCTATTTCTTTCAGGCAGCTGCTGCTCCTGCTAAGGAATTCTTCAAAGCGAGGCTGCTGGTTTCAAAGGCCATCCATTCCCTTGAACGTGGCGATTCTGGCACCAGATCTGCTAACCTCACAGGTGATCTGGGCACATTTCGTTTTGGATGTAGGAACTGTTGTCCCTATCTCCTCTTTAAAGGGAACTGCTGTAAGAGAAGCCTGAGATGTCTAATCAGAAGTGACGAAAAGGGGCAAGGTGCTTGCCCCTTCTCCGCCTCCCTTTCACACCAGCCCATAGAACTGGCTCTGTGCTGGGGCGTGGACACTCCCCACCCTTGGAACTCCAGGAGGCTCCTACTGGGGTGGTGCCGCTTCACATCACCCCCAACATAGAGCTGCGAGCAGATAACCAGGGCCGAACCCTCGCTATTTAAACCCAATATTTTAAAAAGTGTGTAGGGCTCAGATTGCTAGTGATGTCTCCTCTTTGTTTCTTTCAGTCAGTCGCCAGTTATCCAAACACGGCCACATTTCGATGCTCTCTTATGAGCATGGGGCACATGCATAAACACAGAGGGAAAACAATGCGGGCCACTTCTGGTCTCTGCTGAAAGACGTTTACATTGGTAAGAATGGTTTTGTATCATAAATGATAGGAATTTCCTGTGAGTGAGAGGGATCAGATAGAGGTACATAGGCGCAACTGGATACTCTGCTTGTATGATTTGAGATACATGTTGAAAGTTAATGTGCAAGATGAATTACCCAGTACTAGGTGAGAATGACATATTTTTGTTATGATGAAAGAATTGGAGTACAAGGTTCCAAAACACTTTGTTTTTTCAAATGACATTTCATGAGCCTGTTTGCCCCATACTGGGGACTGTGGGTACTTCTTAAATAAAAGAATTAAAGCAGAGTCACTGAACTTTCAAATGACTCACTGGACTTTCAGTCAAGTGTGTGTAAAAATATTACTAATTTATAAACAACATCCAGTCTCTCACAATAGATCTAAAAAGAGATGGCTGTAGCCAGGAGGCAATACCACAAAGGGCACAACGTCAGATTCTCAGATTTGGCTGAGAAATCAAACTGATAGAAATTTTCTCAAGTTTTATTTTTTAAACTGGAACAGAAACTTTTTTTAATACAAATAAACATTGCCCATGCAGTGTTTGCGACACAAACACTGAAGCAGGTTTGTGCCAGAGGCCCTAAAAGGGAAATTGACATGAAAGTGAAAGTAGACAAAAATAAAGGTGACTAGTCTCTATTTGTTGTCTAAGCTGAGGGAAATGCAAAAACAAAACAAATAGAATAGACAGAGAAAAGTAAATTAGATTGTGAAATTTTTCCGTTATAATAATCGCAGGCTGTGATCATGCAACTGGATCGATGTGGATGCAAATTTGACCACATGTATCTGGTTGCTGGATCAGGACAGAAATTACCTGTGTTATCAACACCACCTGACATTTGAGAGTACAATAGTTGGATTTTTTTTAAAAATGATTTGTAGTCCAATAACGTCACTTTAAAGGGACACTGTCAAACATGATCAATCACATTTCTGTGTGGAAAGTATTGGATTCACTGGAAGTACAAAAAACACCTAAAATAACACTTTCTGAAGAAAGATAAAAGGAAAACATCTCGGGTTTTTTACTATGCACATTTGACATCACTTTTGCATAGTCAATTTCACTGATTCTCTTGACTTGTCAGTGAGTTTTTCCTTTGTAAATATCAGGAAGCAGAAAAAAAATTATAAAAACTTAAAGAATTTTAAAAAATCCAGGGCATACTATTTAAAAAGGTACCTTTATCAAAAACTGGATTTTTTTATAAGTAATTGTTTTGAAACTAATCAAGTTAACACTGTCCCTTTTTAAAGGCTAGTCAAACCTGTTAATATTTAGTCTTGTCACAAGAGAACACGTGGGAAGCGGTGTTGAATCTGAACTTATGTGGCAACCTGCTGGTCATCTGTCCTCAGTCAGAACTGAGACTGAGAGAGAGAGAGAGAGAGAGAGACTATGTTCTGCTAAACTGGGACTCCCTGACCTGCCAAACACCCAGGAAAAATGAAACTAGGAATGACAGCAGTGATACCCCAGAGGGGACGATGAAATAAGCCGGACAGATTTCCTAGTGCTGACCGTATGGGTAGACAGGCAACATGACAGGAACTCCGCCTCATCTGCAGCACCACAAAAGAAAGTGACAGAACATACACACTTGTTTGACAACACTTTTTTGTTTTTAAAGGATTTACTGATTTCTGGATTTCTTCTCCCCTGTAATTCATATTCACTGAGTGCCCATTAACAATACTGTGTGGCAACCCAAGATCCTAGGCAATTATGAAGATAATAGCGCCCTCCTCTTCCGTCCTGCCACTCCTTAGGAAACAGGGAAGGGGAGAGAGCATATGAAAGAAAGAAAACCAGCAAATGGAATGAAAATTCCACTCAGCTTCCCTCAAAGCAACAGACAACAGCAATTAGAGACTTCTCTGATTGAAATACTTGAAACGTAATGTAATTTCTTTAAGCAGATCTGTAATACAAGCAAACTTTAATTTGTCTATTCTTATCCAAAGTCACCTACTTGGAAATATACAAAATATATGGTAAGACTCTATCAGGGGCCCTTATGCAAGTTGTTCCAGACCATTCTCAGAGATGCAGGCCCTAATTCACTGGGCTTGGAATGCCAATTGTCTGTATTTTTGCAACGTTTATGTCTATCTTAGGTACCTATCTGGCCCTCATTCCATAGGACAGTAGTGCCTCACAATCTTTAATTTATAATCCTCACTGCACTCTTGTAAGGCAGGACACGGCTGTTATCCCCATTGTACAGATGAGGACACAGAGAGGCTGAAGGACTTGCCCAAGGTCCCAGGAAGTTTGTGGCAGAGCAGAAATTTGAACCCAGGTCTCCCAAGTATTAGGTTAGTGCCCTAACCATGTGTCTAGATCTGTGGATAAGCATTTATGGAAGTCAGAATGAATAAAAATAAAGCCATGCTCTGATTGGCCTGTTGGGGTTTTTTTTGTGGTGTAATCTGCATAATTAAATTCCCAATAAAACGGAGATACATCACAAATCTTCAGAGCATCCTGATGGGCTGAGGCTGTAACATACACTGATGTCCGCCCCTCCCAGCATCAGCTCATCTGTGACTGTGGACTTCAGTGGGAGATGGATCAGACCCTAATTCATCTCAGGTACACAACAGATATCTGCCCATAACTATGACAGATATTTTGCCAGAAGCTGGGAATGGGCAACAAGGGATGGATCACTTGCTGATTACCTGTTCTGTTCATTCCCTCTGGGGCACCTGGCATTGGCCACTGTCTGCAGACAGGATGCTGAGCTAGGTGGACCTTTGATCTGACCCAGTATGGCTGTTCTTATGTTCTGCATTCCAGTACATTGCTTTGTATACAGAAGTGAATGGACTTACTCTGGATTCGTACTGCTATAAATACAGGAACTGTTTCAGGCACCACTGTAATGCAGCTGCCTCTGGGGTAGAACTTGACAGCTGTTTAACAGCTGTACAGCAATCCTGCATAGCAGTTAAATGGAAATAGTGAAAGAAGCAGAAAATTACAAGTTCCCTGCTTGGCCATCACTCCCTCCTGCCACTCCTTTGGTGGCTGGATGACGGTTCATCTCCATGTTACTGATTCATCATTGCATCAGTGTGGTTATATGCTGGCGTAACTCCAGCTATTTACAGAAAGGCAGTGGTGAATCAGGCCTTGAACTGGGTACTCAATTCAGCTCTCTTAGGAGAGTTTGACTTTAAGGTGCCTGGCCATTGCCTCTGATGCCTTGTTAAATGCAGCAGCCACCCACTGCCCAACTCCCTTCTGCGCAGGGGGGAAACTGGAAAACAGCGAGGCAGAGCCCCATGTATCAAAAGAATGGATACTGCAATGCTGGAGAATTCGCAGGAACCACTGGCTTGACACTTGGAAGAGGTTCCATCAGATATTTCTTAAAGGCTTGGGTTTTTTTAAACCCCAGATGTAGCAATACGCAAAGCGACTGTGTCAAGACCTTACAGTAACCATGCATTCTTATCCTCTGGAGAATATGCACCAGGATCACAAATGAAATCCACTGCAGCCCATTACATCATCTCACATAACCATGAATTTAGACAGACAGTCATTATAATTACTTACTTAGGAACTGGCACCCGAATTATTATCCCATCTACTTCCGGGTTCAGGTTCATTCCACTCTCCCTTATAGCCTTGATAGCTGCAGCTGTACTCTGTAAACCAGATCAAAAGGTAAAAGGAATTAGTAAATAATTATTACCAGATGCCAGAACTCTGTTGATAGCTGGCAATCCATCTCACCAGAACATGGAAACATTTAGTTCTGTTACCAGTACGATCAGGAAGTTACATTGGTGCAGAGTGCTTTGATCAAATGGAATTGCAAACTACGTCCATTCTTGGTACCAGAGTATTAGGGAGTGGGGAGGGGGAGAAAGCAACAACAAAAGAAAACAGTTTTGCTTCTTTGAAACTATTTGAATGCTTTGAGGCAATGCAGATCAAAACCACAATAAATCCCCATAGGAGAACCTGGACTGGGGAAAAGGGAGATGAAAGATTCTCTGCCTTTAAAAATTCTAGTTGAATGTTTTACACTAGAAATTGCACAGTGCCAATTTAGAAAAGTTACTAATTTAACTCATGCGGCACTACAATCAAGTTGGGTTAAATCCAGACATTAGTTTGTGGCTGAGGAATGCAACCAGTGCTTTTACAACCAGGCTCAGTTGTATTTATTTAAGTGTCTCATAATTTATTATTTACTTATTATAACTCTTTCCCCGGTGGCTGCTGCATGCCAGCATAATGTGGCAATGCCAGCAGTCCAGTACTTCGCTGAAGGCAAGGTACCTGTACACAGGACAGCGCTGGAAAGTCACTTGGCCCAACACAACAGGTATGCTTGGTAAACAGTGAAGTGATCCAAACCTATCCAACAGCTTCCATGTCACATATTATTGGAGTAAAGACAAACAGGGTTACAATGTTACCTAAAGGAACTGGGCTGATGGGGATGAATCCAGTCATCTTCAACGGTTCAACGCCAGAGATGAATTTGGTACACAGGGCTTGACAATCTATTTAGACCCTGATTCAGCAGAGTACTTAAGCATTTAAGTGCTGTGGATTCACTGACCTGTTTGCGTTGTTTTACAGCATCTATTTGGTACTTGTATTGTCTCAAATGCAAAATAAAGTCAAGTCAAAAGAGCACGAGAGAAAAACACTGAGAATGGACCCAAGCATTCAGGTGCTTGAAGCTAAGCATGTGCTTAAATGCTCTGCTGAATCAGGGCTTTAGACACGATATTTAATAGCCATCTCCCATATTAAAATTCACCTGTAAGAGAACTTCTTGAGGGACCCACTATAATGTTAGAGGGAGCTGCCCTGCTTCATCAGAGCACAGATCCCTTTCTACACAAGTTAGTCTCAAATGCATACATCTTTTGCTTCATTTTATCTCTGTATGATCCATGAAAGACAAACCTGCCTCTTTAACAAAAATTATCCCTTCCAAATGCAAGGTTTGGTTACAATCCTCTCTATCCCATGAGATGTGGTGTGGCATCTTGGAAAGCACGTAATCAGTTCTTGTTTAGTACAGCATTTGGAGATCTGATGTTTCGGGGAAGGATGCAAAGAGTGTGCATCATATTCAGAAACAGCAAGCATTAACCGGCCCATTTGAAAGCAACCTCGATCAATCCCAAACTGGACTTTTGTTGGGTTCCACTGTTGAGTGATTTCTGATCAAATAGTCAAACACTGTGGTCACGTTATAGCTAAAATGTCATTTTATCAGACACTCTGGTAGCAAATTTCCATC